AGCCCAGTGCGGAGGGGACGGTGGGACGGGGACAGCCCCCGGAGGGTCTGGGACACCGAGAAAATGAAGTAGCCCCGCCAGAGGTGATTCACTCACCGATGCCCGTCTTCCGGGATCTGCCTCTTTCGCCTTGTACGACGCACAGGGCGGTTTTCCTTCTGTGCCCCCACCCACCCACCCCCGTTCCACTCACGGTGCTTCGGTCCTGCTTGAAGCCCACGCGGCCTCCCGCCTGAACCCTGCAAGAGCCTCTCGAGCATCGGCCTCCCCACTTCCAGTCTTGAACCAGACACACAGGCGAGGACCTCACTCCTGGCTTAAAGGCCCCCCAAAGGCTACCGTTGCCTGCACTAATCTCGGCTATGGCTCCTGCAGCCAAGGTCCTACTGGGCCAGCGGGAGTCACGCCCTCCCTGGGCGCCCAGCCCCCTCCTCAGGCGTCACACCTGCCCTCCTGGGCGCCCCGCTGCCAAGGCTGGCCGCTTTGTCCCCTGAAGACACCGAACTCGGGGCACAAGTTCTCGTTTATTTTGTGTCCCCAGTTCTTCACATAAGAGCCGATCAGCAGAAGGCGGCCGGCCCGAGGACCAGCCAGGAGGAGGCCTAGGGCACTGGGGAGGACCTACACTTGCTCCTGCCAGTGTCTGGCTTTCTCCTGGATGTGCCCTAACAGCATCTCTCTACCTGTTGTCCGTCTCCCCTTGGCCCTCTGTCCACCCGCCCCTCCAATGCTCCCCTTGGAAGGTCCCGGTCACGGAGCCTCAGGCCCCCGCCACTCCTGTCGGTCCTGCCCACCCCCTTCCCCCCCTGGCCGCCTCCTCTCACCCCTGCAGGCACTGCCCCCCAGGATTTCAACCTTCCTCAGGCGCCTACTGCCTGCAGGCTCCCAAAGCAAGGCCCACTGAGGCTCCCCCTTAGCGAGGGCTCCAGATGGCGGCGACAGGCCTCGCACAAGGACTCTACCTTGGGGGCACTCCCCTCCCGGCCCTGGGCTCAAATCCACACACCTCTTCCCCCTCCCCCAGCCCCACCCAAGGCTCCAGTGTGTCTTTCCTCCCCCAGGGGTGCAGGCCTGCCCCACACTCCTTCTTAGCCCCCTCTGACAGGCCTTGCCCATCCTGTCCTGAGGCGGTCCCAGGGCACGGTGGCCCGACGTCCTCCCAGTGGCCCCTCATGGACCTCAGCACTGCCCGCCGGCTTGCCCCACTCCCCACAGCACCTCCACCTCCATCGGCTCCCACAGGCGAACAGCAGCTGATGCCTCGAGCACTTCCCAGGCCCTCACCCGCCTGGCGCGGCACAGACTCCAAACCACCCTGCCCTGCCCCCTGCCTACACCCCTGTGCTCCCACCGCAGCCTCCCTCGCTGACAGCGCCTCCTCGTCCCTGCCCACGCCGTCCAGCCCCACAGTCCTCTCCCAGTCCTTCCGTGTGTGGTACTGCCTCCTGCCTCAGGACCTTTGCTCTGCTTCCTCATCCCCCGCCCTCGGCGGCAACACCGCCTCCGAGGCCCTACGGCCCACCCTGCCCATCTTTCCCCCTCACCCCATTCCCCTGCAGGACCCTCGCCCTCAGTGCCGGGCACCCCTCCAGTCTCGCCCACACCGTGTGCCTAGGGCTCGGAGCGCATGTGCACGCAGCTGGGACGCGTCGGACGCCGCTGCGAACGGACAGAGAAACAGCCCGGCCGGGGTGGGGGGCGGGGGTGGCCGGAGCCAGACCACAGGGGACGAATCAGTGGCCTGGCGCGGTCCCTGGCCGCCCCCAGTCCCCACCCTCAGCGACAGGGGGCAGAAGCCCAGGGAAGACGGTGTCCCGGCGCACGAGTGCAGACTGGTGAGGACACACAGACACCCCCACGACCGACCGACCGGGGTGTTTACTGGAAGGCCCGCCCGCGGTGGGGGCGCGGGGGCGGGGCCTGCCGGTTATCGGGAAACCAGCTGGGAAGTTGCGACAGGCGGGGTCGGGCGTGGCCCGGCGGGTGTCTGGCACGCGTCTACGCGGCCTGGTCTGCCCGGCTGGGTGCAGCATTTGCTTTCCACTTCCACCTAACGTTTCTCGTGGGCAAAATGCACGCCAACGAACGGGACCGGCCGCGTGTATGGGCCGCACGGAAACAGTGCACGTCTGCAATAAGCACTGAGGCAAAACCCTCCGTGTTTGTGTCCGGTTCGCTCTGAGGACGAGACACCCCCACTCCCCTGTGGCCGGAAACGTGTAGCGTACTATTCCCCAAACTGAGGCTCAGGGACCCAGACAGGCTGAAGGGAGGGTGGGGGCCCTAGGGCCCCCGTCTGAGGGACATGGGCCTCAGGCCCCTTCCTCCGGCAGCACTGGGGCGTGGGGACCCCGAGCCTCTGAAGCCCGTAATCAGGGCCAGGTGTCGGGCGCCACGTGCAAGCCTGACCTCGCAGTGACCTTCACATATCATCGAACCGGAAGACAAACTGGAGGGTGGGTGCCATCAGCCCAGCCTGCGGTGACCGCACATTCCCACGGCCACCAGCCAGCAGAAGGCGAGCTGGGCCTAAAACCAGGCCCTCTGTGTCTTGCCACTTCCCTCTGTGTTCTTGGAGGTTCCTGATAAGAATTCCTTCGGAAAGGTCCGCTGCGAGTGTGCTAAGTGAGGGCTGGGCAGAGGCCGACTCCTCATCCCTCGCCCCCGCCGCCCCCGGGGAGCAGGAGCAGGTCGGCCCTGGCTGTGGGGCCCGCAGAGGCACCACTCAGACCCCGGTCCGTTGCAGGGGAGGCTCACGTGGCACGTTGAGTGGACACAGCCCACAGGAGGCGGGTGAGGGGTGGGGAAGCTCTGGGGGAGGGCCCTAAAGCCCAAGAGGTGCCGTGGGGGGTGCAGGCGGTGGAGGTGCCCCAGAAGAGGGCTAGCAGAGAGGCTGGACTTCTGGAGGCCGAGAGGGTGGAGGACGCAGCAGAGACAGGCGGGGCCCGGGCTCTTGCCGCCTGAGGGTTCGTGAGAGAAAGTGCTGGTCGTGGACTCAGGGACACGATACAGGCTGCTGCACCTTGGGGCTCACCGGGGTCTCGGAAGGGCACTAGGGGGAAGAGAGGCATCGTTACCCCATTGGACAGATGGAGGAGGCGAGGCGCAGGGAGGAGACACAGTGAAGCGGGAGGCAGAGCCTGCAAGAGGGGGGCGGCTCGCAAGCCGAGGTCTGAAGAAGGAGGAGGAATCAAGGAGGGTCAGGGCTGGGGGGAGGCGGCTGGGAGGCCCACCCCTGGAGCCCAGGGTCCGGAACCCCGCCGCCCGCCTGCAGCAGCCCCGGCCCTGGGCGCCCCTAGCCTGCAGGCCGCCTGGGCTCTCCCCTCCTGGCGCCTTCCGAACAAAGCTCTTTGTAGCTAACGAGCTCCAGAGACCGACAGAGGCCTCCTGGTCTCCGCTGGCCCCTCGGCCCTTCCTGAGGAGCGACCGAATGGACCCGTGGGGTTGGTGACCAAGTGACACTCACAGAAGAAGACGCTGCCTCTAGCCAAGGCCTGGAGAGATCTTCCCCTGAGGCACCCCTTCCCAGCTCCGGCTGGTCGGGCCCCGCCTGGATGAGCGGGGCCATCGCAGTCCTAAGGGAACAACGTCAGGAGGGGACAACCGGTCCCTCAGAAACCTAGGGGCACATCCTCAGACACTCAGCAGGCCAGTTAGCGCCTGCCTTGTTTCTTCTGCCAGCATATCTTCTCCAGCTTCATGGGGAGAATGCTTCCAGGAAAAACAAAATTTAAGGGTTGAATAAAAACTGTATTCACATGTTTGCTGAGCACCTACCATGTGCCAGGGCCTGTGCTGGACTCTAGAATGCAGAGTGGAGACCGTACGGCGGGGCCTTTGTCCTCTCCTGGGACACCACCCTGGGTCTTCCCTCTGAACAGAGCCGAGGGCCAGTGGGGGGTCAGACCCCCAGGGGGGTCCCTCCCCTGGCAGCTGTGGGAGACACACACACGCGCGCGCGCGCACACACACACGCGCACACACGCACACACACATGCTGCCTGAGCAGGGGTGAGGCTGGAGGCAGGAAGAGCAGGTCAAAGAGCAGGCCCCAAGACCTGCACCAAGCCCCAGCCCCCACCGCTGGGAAAGGTGGGAAGACCCGACTGGCCGTGGGGATCCGGGCGCCCCGGGGAAGGTCTGGACCAGGCACCGGACATGGAGGGCTGTGCACCGGTGTCCCCACCTGGAGGACGGAGACTGTTACAACACTGCCCGGCACATGGTAAGCACCCAAACAGAGCTGGCCACGGCCCTTTCATTGTCTGAAGTGAAGGAGAGGGAAAGGGAGGGAGGAGTCGCGGCTGGCATCCAGGAGGGCACTGCACTCGAGTGCCAGCTGGATCTGTGGGAGCACAGACTGGGCAGATTCCTCCCAGGAGCTCCTTGTGGGCCACAGGGTGGGACCCCAAGGCTGTAAGGGGCACAGCAGGCAGCACGGAAATGATCACCCAGCCGGGATTGCTAGGACGCTAGGGCCACGGGCAGCACGGTTCCTTCCCTGGCACCGCCCCCCACAAGCCCAGAACGGCACGCCACAGTCCGCCCGTGTGGACGCAGGTAGGAGGGGGTGTGGACAGAGGGCTCCAGGTTAAAGGTCCCTGTTCTGTAGCAACTTTTTGCCTTGAGAAGATGGCTTTTACAAGGAAACTGACAAAGAGTCCCAAGCCAAGAAGGGAGCAAAGATCCCCTGAGGCCTCGCCAAGCTGCCGTGCCGAGCGGAATCTCAGCAGGCAAATTTGAATGGGGACAAACTGTGCAAAGCCAGTGACCCGAGACCAGCAGTGGAGACGCCTGACTCAGCACCAGTGGGGACACTGGAGGTGTGTGTGAAGTGAATTCCTAATGCGCCGTGAGGGATGCAGAGCAAACCCCGCGTGAAGCCGGGAAGCCGGGAAGCCGGGAGCTTCCTGCCAGTCCTTCGGGAAGAGTCAGGGAGAAGGCGGGGAGGGCCACCCACTCCCTCTCGCTCCCTTCACGCCATCCAAGTTGCTGTGGGTAAAGCTTTGGCCGAAGCCCTCGCTCTTTGCAGACTTATGCTACTTCGTCCCAAACTCAAGCCCGCTAGGTTTGGGCACAGAAGGACAGTTGTACACGGGACAGAACGACAAGATAAGTGAACTGGAAGGAAGGGAGATACGAGTGGAGGGACAGAGACCAGAGGGGGCCTGGGCTGTCCGCATGTCCGCATGGGACGGGCTGCCGGCCGCGGCGCGGTGCCCGGAGACCCGGTGGGGGGGGCGGCAGTCTGCCCTCGCCCCAGGCTGCACGGTGGGAAGGGGAAGGATAATGTAACAATTCCGGTGTTATTTTAGCTCCAGGGGTACAATATAGTGATTCACTAAACCCCCAATTTCTAACACAATGCCCGCCACACAGTAGGTGCTCAGCATACCGTTTTCGGAGGGAAAAAGCAGCGCGTAAAGGGAAGTATCGGTCGGATTCCTCAGACGTTAAGAGGTTTGAGGAATGGGCTCGTGCAGCTGTGGGGACTGGCAAGCCCCAAATCTGTAGAGGAGGCCAGCGGGCTGGAAACTCAGGCAGCCGTGTGGGAGAGCAGCGAGGCAGGGTTCCTTCCTCCCTGGAAAACCTGGGCTCCTGAGGTTTCCTGCTCCTGAGGCCCTCGGCTGCTTAGATGAGGCCTACCCACATCAAATCAACCGATTGTAGATGCCAGACCCTTTGCAAGATATTTTCACAGCCATATCTGCACCAGTGTTCGACCAAACACCTGGGCACCGGAGCTCAGCTCCACTGACCCGTCAACGGAACCACCCCAGCTGCATCAACCCAAGGAGAGGACAACGGCCAGGCAAGACTGGATGGTAGAAGGCGAGTGGGAAAGCCATGAGAAGCCCACTTCCCCACACGGTGAACGGCAGAGTGGTGACGACACCCCTCCCCCCCCCAGGTGAAAGGGGCCACAGTGACGCAGCCGCGATGACTGTCCAGGGTGTGGGAGGAGGGTGGGGGCAGGCCCCCGTCGTGAGGCCCAGGTAGAATGCTCAGCTCAGGCTGAGTCCGAACCAGTCCTCACCCCCACCTCCGGCTCAGACCTGGGCCTCACTGCCCTCTCCGCCTGGGTGGACACCCCGGGACACCGCCTCACTTGACTCCCAAGGTCAGACCCCCCCCCCAGGGGGGCGGGGCGGGGGGTTCTTAAAAAGGGAGCACAGGGGCGCCCGGGTGGCTCAGTCGGTCGGGCGTCCGACTTCGGCTCAGGTCACGATCTCACGGTCCGCGGGTTCGAGCCCCGCGTCGGGCTCTGGGCTGATGGCTCGGAGCCTGGAGCCTGTTTCCGATTCTGTGTCTCCCTCTCTCTCTGCCCCTCCCCCGTTCATGCTCTGCCTCTGTCTGTCCCCAAAATGAATAAACGTTAAAAAAAATTAAAAATAAGAAAGGGAACATGACGGGGACTCCCAGGTCTGAATTCCCGAAACCTGACGACCTGCCGAAGGACACAGTCTTGGGTCTTGAACTCACGCGGGTGCCGTGGGGGGAAGGGTGGGGCCCCGAGTCACCAGAAGCGGAGACTCCAAGCTATAGGGAGCCAGGAGCGTGGACAAGGGAGCCCCCGGGCCAGCAGTCAGAGACAGGCTTTGAGCACCTGGGTTGGAAGAAAGTATGGCCACTGTCCAGGGGCCCGAGGTACAATGTCCTGGAGAGAGGCCAACAGGCTAGCTCCAGGTGTGCCCAGCGTCCCAAGGAAAGGGTGCCCTAGCCAGGAAGACGGGTGATGAGTTTCCATTCCACAGAAGATCACTGGTTACCCTCCTGCAGTGCACCTAGGCCCTCTGCTGGGTGCCGGGGAGCTACAGCACGCCCACGTCACCCTAAAGTGAGCCCAACAGCACGAGCAGCCAAGCGCACAGAGCCAGGTAAGCGCTGTGATGGAGGCGCGGCCGCAGGGAAGCCTAGAGGGCGGAGATGAGCTCACTGGGGTGACAGGACGCTTGAGGGAGCAGGCCCCTGCAGACACAGGAGGGGTCGGTGCGTCCCAGCCGAGGCAGGACCTGTGCACAGGCCTGGAGCACGGAGGGCTGAGCCTGGCAGAGCAGAGAGGGCTGGGAGCGGGGCACAGCCTCTGACCTCACAATACCCAGGGCCCACTGGGCCGGCCTTGCCTCTGGCAGACCCTGGTGCCCTCCTCCCGCCCGGGCGAGGCCTGGGGCCCCGGGCAGTCTCCAGGTGCCGAGCCCCCGACCCGGGCTGCGCCCGTCCCGTTGCCCCGGGGCATGTCTCTACTCGCCAATTATGAGGGGCTCCGGCATCAGATCGAGAGGCTGGTGAGGGAGAACGAGGAGCTAAAGAAGCTGGTGCGGCTCGTTCGGGAGAATCACGAGCTCAAGTCGGCGATCAAGACGCAGGCGGGCGGCCTGGGCAGCAGCGGCTTCGGCGCCGGGTTCGGCCAGATGGCGGCCACTCCTCAACACCAGGGAAACTGTAAGAGACTGGGGCGGGGAGGGGGTCTCCGGGAGTCCTGGAGACAGGGCACGGATAGTAACGAGCGGGTGGGACGGTGGCCCCGCCAGGGGAGGACACGGGACCATCGGGACGGAGGCCAGAGCCGGGCACCAATTCCTGCACCCTGATGGGAGGAGGCCCCGCTCACCCCCCTCCTCTAGGCTGACCGTCCAAGCAGTCCCAAAGGCTGCGAGTTTCCCAGCTGTGGGATCCAAATGTGCCGCGCTCCTGGGTCTAGTGTGTCGCTTGCCCTCCTCCCCCCTCCCCCCTCCCCCGAGCACCCCCCAGGGCCCTGCGCCTAGAGATGGCCACTGACAGACAGCCCAGATCCAGGAGCCAGGGACAGAAACCAGGACCGAAGCTGAGGTCTGGGAGTCATTAGCGTGTGGCAGAGCCCTGGGGCTGGAGAAGATGTAGGGTGAGACGGAAGAGGCAAAGCACTAGCGGGCATTTGCAGAAAAAGTGGTGATCGGCAGGCTGGGGGCTCGGGAGCAGGGACTGAGCCAGGAGGGGGCTGGGAGGCCACGCGGCTGAGTGTGGTGATAGGGGCAGGGAGGGGCTGGGGACAGAAAGCTGTGGGCAGAAACTGGCTGGCACTGAAGATAACGGAGGGGGAGTTTCTGGGGGTGGCAAGGCCCCAGGGTGAGGCGATAGGAGTCGGCGGCTGGCAGTGTGCTGTGAAGGTTACACAGGGCGAGCCGGCGATAAAACCCTGCGGTGGTCACACCGTAGCCGTGCCCTCCCGACGGGGTCCTCCCTGTGCCAGAGAAGGCCCTGCGCCCCGGCCCTCCCGCTGGCCCCTTCGTCCCCAGTCGGGCCCAGAATGGTCTTCCTCCCCGAGAGGAGGACTCTGCCCATCCTGGGGCCCCTGCAGCTCGGCCGTGGGCCACAACACTCAGCTGCTCCGGGAAGGTCACAGGTGGCTTCCTAAGTGCCACGTCCTTCTAAACCTCTGCATGCAATTTGGGACCGATGACCCCCCTCTTTCTGGGTTTACCCTCGGCAGCGTCACCCACCCCCTGCTCCGGGCCAGCCCGGGCCCCACGCTCCACCGCCAGCCAGCCCAGCACGGGCCGCCATCCTCCACGGGGCTGGAGGCCCCTGCAGACAGTCGTGCAGGCCCAGCAACTCCCTGGCACTCAGCTCACCCCCAACCACACGTTTCTGATTGAGAACTTGGCCTTTCCACTGGGATGCTAAGCCCTCCCAGGTCTGTGCTCCTGCCCTGAGGGTCCCACGCCAGGCCCTTACTCTTGGAAGCTGCCTCCCTCTGGTCCCCACACACCGGCTTCCCTGCTCTTGAACCACACCGTCCATCCACGCGGCCTTCACCCCCTCACTGGCCACAGGAGCACAGGCCTCTCCTCGGAAAGGCTTTATTGTAACGACTGAGACAATGCGTCGGCAAAAATAAAGACGCGGGGAGATACAAAATAAAAGAAATCTCAAAGCTTCACAAAAAAGTAAGTCTTCTCCTTTTGGGCTCGATTCTTAACAGAATCCTTGGGCCACGTTGCTTCTTCCCCCTCCTGAGGGGCCCGGCTTAGGGGGTCAGGAAAGGCTTTCTGGAGGGGGTGAGCCCACGGTGGTGGGAAGGCATTAGCGGGCGAGCAGCAGCTCCTGCAAACGCCAGGACCAGGGGGCAGCAGGGACGCGGGACCCGTCAGTGAGGCTGACGCTCAGGCTGTGTGTGGGTGAGCGTACTGGGTGCGTGTGGGGGGGGGGGGCGGGGAGGGGGGCTAAGTGTGTTTGTACTGTGTGAGAATCGTGTGATTGTATCTGTGAGTGTCCATATGGTTGTATCTGAGTGTGTGTGTCCGTGTGGTTGTATCTGTGACTGTGTGGGGTGTTATCAGGGCCAGTGACACTGAGCAGTTCGGCTAAAGAGGTCAGCAGAGGTCAGATCAGCGGGGACACAGGCCGGTTCCTAAGGGCAGAGAGCAGGGCCCGGTGGTTGTGGCGGAGTGAGCGAGTTCCTGCTGTGGAAGGGTCCCTCCAGCTGCTGTGGGGACGGGATTCGGAGGAGACGAGAGCGAGGCCGCACCGGCTGACGCTGAGGCCCTTGCAGCCCTGCGGGTGGCAGACCGCAGCCCAAACTAGGGGCGGAGAGAAACTGACTCAAGCTAACTGCTTGGATGTGCAGGACGGACAAGGGAGTCCAGAAGGTGTCTCCGTTCGGGCAGAGGTGGTGGGGTGCCTGGCAGCGTGACCTCCTGAGACTGCGGAACTCTCCGTCCCCTTGCCCAGCCAACGAGGATCCCTGTGGTGGCCTCGGAGGAACTTTCTCTTTCTCAGGCCACTTCCTGCTTCTGCCTGCTCCTTGTGACTCACCTTCCTCGTGGAGCCAGGCTTTTACTCTTGATTTCCTCTTGTGAACTCAACCTCCAGTTCCTCTTTCCGGGCTCGCCCTTGCACTCGGTGTACGCTCAGGCCCGCGGTGCGGGGCTCAGGCCCATCTCCGCGGGAGAGGCAGCCCGGGCTGTGCCTGTGCTCGAGCGGCGCAGGGCTACCCCCGGCTGGGAAGACGCCTGCGTGGAGCCACCAGGCAGCGGCGGCGACACAGTCCTGAAGCTCCGGCAGACGTCAGGGCTGGAGGGAGAAGGTTCGGGAGTATGGACCACTGAAGCCGCAGGAGGGGTGAGGCCGCCTGAGAGGGGCGAGCGCAGCCAGTGCATGAGAGAAGCGGGGAGACGAGAAGAGGGAAACCTCAGAGTGTGATGTCACAGAAGCCAAGGCACAGCTTCGAGGGGGCAGAGTGTCAACAGAATAAAGGCCGAAGAGTCCAGGGCCCCTGCTGCCCTGGTGTGAACGAGCTCGGTTAGACTTGACCTCCACCACAGGTGCCAGCGGCCCAGGCTGTGAGGTGAAGAGTGAGGAGTGGCGGAGAAAGCGGCACAGTAGGCGGCTGACGCTCCGCTCCCGAAGCACGGCTGGGGGCAGGCAGGAGCTGCTCGGACAGACGCAGCCGGGCTCCTCAAGATGGCCGAGACCTGACCTTGTCCCTCTGCGGCGGGAAGGAGCCAGGACAGGCGCTGGGAGGTGCCCCTACGGAGGGGAGGGAGGGCAGGAGGCTGAGGAAACCGGAACCATGGCTTCCATTCTCCCTGGCAAAATGACACCGTGGGAGCCGAAGATGAGGAAGGCGTGACACCGTGGATGCGGCGGGAGCGGAGCGTGGGACCTGGGGGGGGGCCCGTCTGGCTGTGCAGGGAGCCGGGATGGTGCCACCCGCCTTGGACCCCTTGGACCCCTTGGATCGTAAAGGCGGCAAGCCACCAACTTGCTCAGCAGCGTTTGTGTGGGGCTCTGGAGGCGGGGGAGGCGGCAGGGACGCAGGCAGGCGGAGCAAGGACGGGTTTGGGCACCTCACAGAGGGAAACGGAGGCCAGCTGAGCCGCGGGATGCAGGGGCAGCGAACACACCCGTGTGCTGGAGATCCAGAGAGGCTCCACGCCGGGTGCCAAGTGTTCTGAGCGGGGCAGAGGCAGTCCGGCACGCTCAGTGTGGGTAACCAGAGCAGGTGGACTGAACTTCACAGGGAAGAACAGGTGCCACGAGGCTCAGGCCTTGGCCCTGGAAGCATGGCAGGGGGGAGGTGGAGTCGGGATGGCATTTGGGCTCCAGGAGCCCTGCCCTGGGATGTCCCAGCAGATGGAAGACGGATGGGAAATCAGGGCTGTTGGAGTAGGGAGGAAATGAGGGCCAAACCGAGCGCACAAGGGACCACGACAGCGGCTGTCAGGACAGGTCAGCTGGGGGGGCAGGGCTCCGCTGCTCTTTGTGCCGGGACCTCCCCCACCCGGACTCCTCCTCTACCCAGGCCCACTCTGTTCCCAGCCCCTGCTGCCCTCTGTCTATCCTCTTGGGAGCTTCGGGCAGGTGGAAGTTTTCTGCCGCGGGGTGCGGCCTACTTCCTTTTTACCACCCCTGCTCCCCACCACCTCCCCCACCCCTTTGCTGCCCCCAAACCAGGGGCTTCCCTCCCCTCCAAGTCTGTCCATCCTCTCGGGGCCTTCTGCACACTCCCCACCTCCCCAGGACCCGTCCCTCCTGCATCAGAATCCCAGCCACCCTCCTCAAATCTTCTCACACCCCTCAGGATCAGGATCAACTCCCCCTCAGGACCATGGTCTCTGGGATACAAACTCCCACCTGGCCCCTAACCCTACCCTGACCCCCCTCTACCTCCCATCCCAGGATCTGACTCTAAGCACCCCTAGGCCTATCCTCCCAGGACCCACCCCCCCCTGGGGACCGTCCTCCTCTTAGGATCCGTCCTCCTCCCGGACACCCCTCCCGGCCATCGAGACCCATCCCCCCACCAGGCCCCCAGGACTAGACCCCCACTCAGGGCCAGCCCTGTCTCCCAGGCCCTGTCATCATCCCCTTTGGCTCTTTCCCCCCTTCCTGTCGCCCCAGCACTCTTGGAACCCTCAGCTAAAGCCACTGACCACTCTCCCCTCTGGGGTCCAGCTTCCCTCTCCATTTTCCCGGGTCAAACACTGTAGCTGTGATGCTCTGGCCCCGCCTCCACGCAGATCCTCCTCCCAGTGATCTGGCCCCGCCCCGCGAGGGCCCCGCCAGTGCTCTGGACCCGCCTCGTGTCGGCCCCGCCCAGTGCCCTGGACCCGCCTCCTGACGGTCCCGCCCCATGAGGGCTCCGCCCAGTGTTCTGGCTCCACCTCATGACGGCCCCGCCCTTTTCGGGTCCTGCCCGGTGAGGGCCTGCCCAGGGCTCTAGCCCCGCCTCATGACGGCCCCGCCCAGTGCTCTGGCCCCGCCTCGTGACGGCCCCGCCCCATGAGGGCCCTCGGGCCTCGCCTCGTTTTGGCCCCGTGAGGATCTCGCTCCTGTGAGGGCCTGCCCAGTGTTCTGAACCCCAGTGACGGCCCCGTCCCCTGCCGTGGGAGAACCCGGTTTTTGTGGAGACCGGCGACTGCCTCCCTCAGGGGGGCGGGGTGGAGGCCAGAGGACCCCGG